AATCAATCATTCAAGCTATCATTCAATCAATCATTCAGTCAGTCAATCATTTAATCATTTGACCAACCAATCATTCATTATTTTGACCAGTCATTCATTCAATCTGTCAAATCTTTGATCATTGAATTATCATTCATTCAATCTCACAATTTAATCAATATTATTTTTATAACAATCAATTGCAAATTATGTTTTGTATTATAAGTTAGCATTGTCATCTTGATAACAAGCAAAGTTTAAAAGTTTATTAGAACTTTTATCTGGACCAAATTTTAGTTTCTTTCATTTGTGATTATGACTCATTTAGCTCTTTTCATAACACCTAAATAATTGATTAGTTTTGCCCACATTATTTGATTCATGAAGCAGTCTTCAGCTTCTGAAAAAAGTGCCCAGCAATAACATAACTAAATTGATTGAAATATCAATAGTTTTCTTGCACAAATTTTAAGATTCTTGTGAAACTTCTAGAAAAGTTCTCAATAAAGTTGAAGAAAATATGGTTGTAGTCTTGCCCAAAATTCTTTTAAACTTGAAGAAGCYCATGGCTTCTGAAAAAGTGCCCATGTTAAATTGAAGTAGTTTTGCTTCTGAAAAAGTGCCCAATGAACTTGATATATTCTTAAATGCATCAGTTTGATACACTGTATATCATACATTTACAGAAAACAATAGATTGAAGCTTTTCTTGAAGGTGGCAGACTGAGGTTTAATTACTGCCTCAATGCAATAGTGATACAAGTTTGTAAGCTAAAAGAAAACATTGCTAAACAGATTGAATTACATAGACCTTGGTCTTGCACTTATACACCAAACGAATTGGGATGAAAAATAAACTATTGTGTATTGAGATTGATGCATGAATAGCAGAGASAGAAAAATATTGTCAAGGGAGAAAGAAAGTTGAGATATCAGAATAATTATACAGAAGATAAGGTATCAGGTTATTTCGCACAAGAGGCCGTTCGCACAAGTCGTTTCGCCCGAAGTTTCGGACCGTTCGCACAATTCTCATATCGATGGATAGTCATTTCGCACAGAAAATAAAACGCCTCAAAGAAAGATACGAAAGATCTACTCTAATCTACTCTAATAATATATATCACTTTCGATGAAATCTTATGGCTTTTAAATCAATATTTATGGAAAAAATTAAAACGACCTCGAACGCGACACTGTTAAAAACGACGACTCAACTATTAAATAAGTAAACGTTCATCTTTGTGCTTGTGTAATTGAATTCACACTACTTAAATTCAAGTGTGTGTGCAAGAAAGTTTGTTTGACTTCCAAAGCCAAAGCATTTAAGTTGATACTGGCAGAAGTTGAGATAGCCAATGCTATGTATAGACAATGAAGTCAAGATAAAGGTGCAAAAGTGTTAATATTACAAACAGTAGTCAAAGAAATGATTTGTAACATTTCCATCCAGAAGTGTATAGAAGAGATATAAAGCCAGCAACTTAGTAGATGCACGAAGATAAATTTCATCAAAAAAATCAAAATAATTTAATTTAYAAAATATGTTTATAATTCTGATAAAAACTTTAAAAGATTGCTTTGCATGTTAAATTTCTTATTAGTTTATTTGTTATCAGATATTATAATCACCAAGATTTAAATAATATTTATTTTTAAATTATCAATATTTATTAATTTATCAATATTTATAACATTTCATAATATATTATATTTTTCTTTAATAATTTATATTTTCTTTAACGGTAAAGATTTTGATGCCTGYATTTATAAAATTGAAGTCCCAGAAAACAGTTTTGATAAAAATATGAAAAATGTATTTTTTGTTTTGTTTTGAATAAAATATTTTGTGAATGAAGTGCTCTCTTGTTGATCATCACCATAAAAAATGACTTTTTTGTGAAAATTCATTGCTTTTCTTCTTGAAAAAATGTGATTATATTAAGTTGCAGCAATTAATTGTAGTATCTCTAGATCTATAGTGAGCCTTGATATCAGTAAAGGAGGTTTCTATATTCACTACGGCGTCTTGTACATTGTGTTATAATTTTATATTGTTTCATATTGTCATAAGTTCTTTGTTGCTTTTTCTTCTTCTGACAGTCCACTTCACAAAAAAATATCACTCTTTTAATTTATTGTCAAAAAAAAAAAAATTCTTTTTGTTGCCATCTTCTCAAAATTATTGGTAACACTAAGATTGTCTCTGTTAATTTTATCAAAAATATCATTTCCTTATAGTTGTACCTCTCAAACATTTACATCTTGAATACATTATAAAAAAAAACTATTTTTGTTGGTGAAATAAATCAAGTCCTTCTGCCCTCAGCCTTTTTTAAAAAAAACATGGGTCAAAGTATTCCTTTTAAACTTTAAGCTTTTTTTGTCAAATCCATCAAGAAAGTTGCAACTTCAAATTGACGTATTGCTTTCCAAAGTGATAGACAGTAATATAGCTAGTCATCTACTCCACCAATCATCAAGGAACATCATGAAATGATTCTAGTAAAGAGGTATAAGACATTTACCTTCAAAATGAATGTCTTTTCAGAAAGAAAATAGTTGTGTCCATTTATCGTCCTTGAAGGACTTCTGAATATACAAGAATAGTTGAAAATTAGCTTTATCATCATAATTATCTTCATCAATGCCACAAAATAGAAATCATCCTCAAAGTTACCATCAGGCATCAGCAACACCACCACCATCATCATCATCACCACCATCATCATCATCATCATCATCACCATCATCATCATCATCATCACCATCATCATCATCATCATCATCATCATCATCATCATGATCATCATCATCATCACCATCATCATCATCATCATCATCATCACCACCATCATCATCATCATCATCATACTTCAAAATCACCATACACCACATCAACAACATTATTAAATACATCAGCAGTTCTTTAATCATCCAAAGATCAATATGCCCAAAAAATATCAAAATACTTGTAGAGTGAAGTAGATCAAAGACCACAAAGCTTTCTCCAAGTGCATCGTCATAATTATTATAATTGTTTCAATTAATCATCAACTTGTTCATCCAGAGATCCAGTGAAATGCCCCAAAAATATTAAAGAATGAGATTTAAGACCATGAGACAGTGTTTAACATGCAACGTCATATTATAACCTTACAGTAATCTAAAGATGCAGAAGCCAGTTTATTCAGTTTGAGATAAATGCCCAAAATAGTAGACTGAGGTAGATTGAAGACCAAAAGACGCTCTCCAATGTTAATCGTCATATAATAGTCTTTTTATTCAATGAAGCAACAGCTTATTAATCCAAGATAAATGCCCAAAATAGTAGATTGAAAAAGATTGAAGTAGACCATGCCACTTTCTGAAAATGCCCATGGTAATAAGATATATTTTAAAATTTAGATACACTTTTTAAATGACTTTTTACATGAATTATTCAACTTTCAAACAACTTTGACATGAATGCAACAAATCAATAAATATCTTTTAMAAAAGGATACAAAAGTTTATAATCTTAATTCTTCAGAATTTTTTTTTAAATTGAAAGTCATCTTTCATGGACAAGTTCTTGATAATCTTTAACAKAATTTTTTCCACAAATGGTTGATGCATCTTCAAATATTTCTTTGTCCAAGTTGTCTTGATACATCTTCTACATGTAGATTACTGTCTTTTTGCTTTGAGGTTTGACATCATTGAATGTCTTTACAGGTGACGATTGATGTCCTGGTGTAGCTTAACTTCTCAAGTGGAGGCGTGAAGTGCCGTACATTACCATGTCTTGAAATCTCCTCCAAACCATCACTCTCTGTTTGACCTAAGCTTGTACACGCAAGAAAACAAATTAATATTTCTCTCGAAATTTCTGTTTCCTTTAATGTTGCTTTCCACTAGTTCTTAGTCTTCTTTAGTATCATGACTTTCTTTCACAAAGTGCATTGACAATCCTGACAATATTAAGCTGAGAAGAATAAAATTCTATATAATACAAAATCATCATTACCAAAATCATTATAAATTGCTGAGGATAGCTATATGTGTTTTAGTATGAAATGCTTTAAGATTAGTCAGAGCAATAAGTAATGCTTATTGTTCACAAAACAATCCACCACACAACAACAACTTGACATCAGTTTGTTTGTACTGCCGTCAATCCCACGATGCATCTCACCAAACATGGCACCATCACGATGATCAGAGGTGTAGTCCACACCACCCTGCCCCCCCCCCTTCCCCCTGCCCCTCCATACACTAGCAAAAATGACCACTGAATGAAGAAATGTTGGCAATACTGATGGCACAGCATATATCAATGGGAAACCACTATCAGTTATTTTTGTTTTGTTTTTGTCTGATTCATTCTCTTAGGATATGCATGTAGATTTTTACGTTTCTCCCAATTGAAACCCTTGTTGAGTTAAATTCTTTGTTTTACTCCATCCATAGCCATGTATCTTGTGAAAATGAATGTTGATATATTCCCAAGGAGTTTGAAGTGGGACAAACATTCTCCCAGATGTCTGGAGAAGAAAATATCAGATATCATACCTTTTGCATGATGCTACTTTTCAAATAACAACAAGACAACGTCCATTAAGAGCAACAGAGCTTATTTTCCATTGTTTGTCATACCAAGCTTTTCGCAGGCCAAGTTGGAAGACAAATCCAAGATGGCGACATCCAAAAATAAGTGTAGTGCTCACCTGTATTGGAGAAACCAGTTTTTTCCCGTAAGAAAAGCAAATTGATGAAAACTATACTAACTAGACTCGTTAACCAATGAAGTGTTAACTTTCAGTAGTGGAATTTGTATCGAAAAAAGGGTTCGATGCCGGTGGGGTTTTTGAGTAGAGTCTTTAATACACACCCTCGAAAAAAATCGAGAAAATGATAGAACTACAACATTTAAATGGATATTTTAGAACACCCACCTTACTTAGAAGATCTTAAATGTCTTTAGAAGAAATTTTATCCAGGAATGCATTCTTTATCATAGCAAAATGGTAAAAATTTGAACATGTTTTTGTTTCTTCTATCCGCCATCTTGAATCTCCCGCGTGCCGAGATCACATGACTTCAAAATAAATCTACAGGGATCCCAAAGTTTATGGTTGCTAATGTAAACAATAAATATTATTGTTTAGCAAAATAACTGCTTGCTTTTGCTGATTTTGTGATCCAAGAAACTTTGACTCAATCCACTTTAAAAGAGGGGGGGGGGACTCCCCCGAAACTTGGGTGGGGGTGTGCCGGTGGGACCTCAAAACCCTGACCCCTGTTCCAGAGTGAAATCGCTGAAAACTATACCCTATTCCAGAGTAAAATCGCTGAAAACTATACACTGTTCCAGAGTAAAATCCTGCACTAGCTTGCGTGTTGACCGAATTTTTACCCCATGAATTTTTGTCCAACATCGGAATTAAACCCTGACCCTGTTCCAGAGAAAATTCGTTGAAATCGATACCCTGTTCCAGAGTAAAATCGCTAAAAACGATACCCAGTTCAAGAGTAAAATCGCTGAAAACGATACCCTGGTTGGCGGCACGTCCCCGTATAGCGAATATAGGAGAGTACCCCCCGGGGGGTGGAGTTTTGCCTGTGATCGTGTCTGCTAGGCCACACTTTCAAATCAAAGACTCATTTGCCTCCAACCAGAGCCCTTGAATTTCTTTTGGGAAATTGAGAAGGATCTGCGAGTTTATTCAATCAAAAGAATTGATCCTGGGTACGAGAATGCCGTGATAACTGTGATGCTATTGCCAATAATTAGCCAATAAAAGAATCAACAAGATTATATTTGCCCTAAGAAAGCACAAAGCTGGCAACCAATACTATGTGTGTTTTTGGTGAGGGGCTCATGGGAGTATCCAGGATTTTCATTGGGGGGAGGGGGGTCCTCACATACCAAATTGTCACTATGACATCATATGACGTCAACATGATGTCATATAAATATATGCTTTTCACGTTTTTTGGCTTTGAAAGGGGGTGACAGGCACCCTGTGACCCCCCCCCCCCCTGGAAATGCCCCTGGTGCTGGTTGTCTTGGTTGTGGCTCAGTTATGAAAGGTGGAATGGTGGATGAAACAAGGGGTAAAAGCATGCTCATGTAAGCTGGTCATTTCATAAACCAGTTGAAATCATCAAAAATCAGGGTGCTCAGAGTTATATAATATTGATTCCTTCACAGTCAAAGTCAGGGTCACACTTCAGTATTCTACTGTCATCTTTTTAGGGGTAATACTTTGCAATGCCACACCCTTTGAGAAAATCTTTTGTTACAGTATCTTGTAGTGGAATTTTTGCCAATCTCAAATGAGAATGTACAATCCATAATCCCTGAAGTTCTCCCAGGGTTCTCCACCTTCCCAGGTTCTCCACCTTCCCAGGTTCTCCACCTCCTCTCTAGATTCAGTCTAGTACTTTAAAAGATTCACTCTCTCAACAAGCAGATTTCTCCAATGAATTTAATGTTATATTTCGTACTACAACTACCTAATCAGATTTTCTACAATTAATTACTTAATCATTCATAAGTGTTACTGACTGCATTTACATTATTTTGTGCTTTTTATATTAAACTCAATATTTTGTGAAATACATGTACTAGTGTTTTTCCTAAAAGTGTGAAGCTTTAATTACTAAACTGCAATGCAAAAAATGTTAATAGAAAGAAAAACAGAAAAAAAAACACAAAATAATTAGCATAAAATAATACAAAATGGTAGAGTGCTTGCACTTAAAACGTGCAATTGTACAAACTAAGTAGTGCTGTTTAGGTGTATTTAATAAATCGTGCACGTGGTACGCAAATTAAATTGAATTGATACAAATAAAGCGTTTGATACAGTCTTGCTTCAGGTCCACTTATAGTACAAATTAGTACTACTTAGATATCGTACAGTTGCACAGTTTAAGTGCGATGAATCTATTACTAATTTTACGGTCACATTTTTGTAATTGGATGAATTGCTTTGAACTTTGCGATTGTGATAAAAATACAATACACAGTGCCAGCAGACATATTTCAAATTAAGTTTTATTATTTAAGCAAGAACACTCTACTAGTAGATTGATTACCACAGTAACTCGATGTGCTCCTTTGTTTTCTAGTTAACAAAATGTRGCAAGATGGTATTTGCTTCCATACAACAGTACATTATAATCCATAGCTAATAGTCAAAACCTAAAAGTCTTCTACAAAGTTCAATACAATCTTGAAAAGTAACCATAACTTTTTATAGAAGCCAAACGATCTTTGGGCTTGCACTCAAATATACCAACAAATTATTGTCTGCAGGTATGAAATGTTTCTATAATCTCAAAAGACTTGATTCAATGCAAAATGCACAGTTCACTTTCAAAATTGCAAAAGGAACCATGAAGAAGACTTTTAAAACAGATTATTTTAACTTTCATTTTTTGTCTCAGACACTTATTCAAGTGTTTTTTTCTTTCAATTACTTAAACAATTCATCCRGTGCCGTTTGTACAAATAGTAGATGACATTATTTGGCACTCGATGCATTTTATCTGGATTTTATCCAGCGAATAGTGCTATTGATTTTTGARCAATTAGACCCTATTTCCCTGTATACGGAGTTACTTCTCCATCTTAATTACAATGCAAAACAATCAAGGACAGAAACACACACGCAATAACACCCAGACTTTTGCAATTCAATGGAACCTTGCTCCTACTGTTAAAATAATTAATATTTTTCAAAGAGAAGTCMTTTAAATTCAGGTGTCAGCTTTYGCAATATTATAAATTAAGTTGCTTGAACAGACAACTAGCAATACTTTCAACCGTATGTCACATCCAACAGTTCCAGCACCAAGTTCTAATCTCACTACAGCTAAACCAACATTAAATTTAATTTCTCTGAACTAAGAAATGTTTTCTATGGAAATATTGAATGTACAGAATTAACATTGGACCTGAGAAGTACTAATTATCAATCTTATCCAAACATCTATGGTCATAATTCTTATGGTCTTTTCTATTAAAAATTATTCAGATATTTCAACTTTAAAAATGCTTGGATAAAATCCTTGAATTATATTTTCTCTGCCTAATTTTTAAGAGTAATTAATAAGCCAAAGTATTGTGGACACACTTAATTGTTGAAACACAGCTAATTGCTACTAAATAATATTGTTAGACAATAGAAAAGAAATTAGAGTGAAGTAAAAAAAAACGTGAAATAGAAAATTATTCAATAACACACCTTAGTTAGTAAGTTTTAATTGCATATTGTTTTGTTTTATGTCTATTTGACTATCACACTTTAACGCTCAAGTTTTTTTTTTCATGGGTCAAATGACTTCACTCTAATTATCATAACTTAGCACCAATCCTGTTTCAACAATTAAGTGTGTTGACTAATTCTAAATGAGTAAATGATGAGTAAATGATCCATAAACATAAAATTCTAGATTTTTGACATAACTAAAAGCATTTTCTAAGGTAATACTTCTCCGGAAATACATTCTTCATCTCCTTTATGAATGCCTAATAATTATTACAGTAATATTAAAGCTTWTAGATGTATGACGCTATGCAAAAAGTTACAAAAAGAGACTAAAATATCCATTGATTTGACATTGTTGTTGTTGTTRTTGGTCAAATCTCAATTTCACAGCATTGTCCATTACTCACGAATTACTAGACTGTCAAAGAAACCCATATGTTTTTGTTGAAAGTCACCTATTGTAGAATCACCGGTCTTTAATCTCTCTCTTAATACGCTTAGAAAAACGTCCAAACACAAGGCCTCCAATAAAGATAATTGCAAGCGCAATGGCGAATACCATGAAAAAATAGCTCTTTGATGGTGATGTTGTAATAGCAACTCCTAAATCACTTAGGGACTCCAGATGTGTAATCTGAAAAAAAAAATAGATGTTAGTGAAATGACAAAGCCTTGTATAATGAATAAAGAACAGGGAAAATCTAGTTAAAAAGGACCGTTGACCAATCAAATGTTTATTTGCCAATTAACCAAACAAGAAGGCATTCACAGTCTGAAAGTCGTTGAATCAATCATTTACCAGATACTGCATCAATCAGTCAATCAATATTCAGGTTGTCAGTCAGCCAGTCAGTCATATAATAATTTAATTGTTTATTTTTCTATTAGTTCATTAATCAATCAGTCAATAATTCAGTCAGTCAATCAATCAGTCAGTCAGTCAGTTACTCCATCAATCAATTATTCAAACATTTATTTGGTCATTTATTCAATCAGTTATTCATTCCGTTATTCAATAAGACAATCAATCAATTATTCAATTAATCAATCAATCAATCAACCAATCAATCAATGAGTCATTTATTAAATAGATTCATTCATTCAATTCAATCATGTTAATTTGCAATACACAGCTATTTCAAAGAACGTTGTCGGGGAAAACGGTGAATGGCAAATGTTGATGGGATATTGCACGACCGAAAGGGACTATGTTCACATTGTTTTGATAAACAAAATTTCACTTATTGGATTCGCCTTWCATAGAAATGGAAACTAAATGAAGCCAATGTTTACCACAGACCATCTTACAGTACAAATCAGTTGTTATTGCCTTTCAACTAGCAAAACACATGACTACTTTCGGTCGTGAAATCGCTGTCCGACAATTGACATTTGCCATTTTATCCGACAACCTTTTTTGAAATAGGGATACATGTATGAGTATTTTCAATTTCATTACCTTGGCAACACCCCATTGATGCATCCTCATGGAGAGTTCAACATTACAATCTCT